AAAGTGATAGGGAGGTAAGAAAGTGCTTTCTGGGTTTTGTGAGACCCCCTACATAAGAATTACGGATAAAATTTTGAATCCCAGACCCATCGATTTTCCTTCCCGTACCACCTTAAGTGAAGATATGCAATGCTAAAGTTAAGCTGGTAGCATGTGAAGCACTTGACCAACATTTTTCAGATCATGTAATGCAGGAAAGAGTTTGCAACTTCCTGTTTTAGATTTTCTGCATCTGTTCTGGCAGTTCATCAAAACACCCAGATGGAACTAAGTTGACTGCAGTTTTATATGCACACCTCAATTACATGAAAGAAACAAATACACTTTTATCCCTATAATACCTGCAACTCAAATGAGAATACACTCACAGAAAATAACACTGCAAAAGTGAATTCCCTAAAAATTTGAAGAAAAAAAAATTTCCATGCAGACATTCCAGTGTACTACTCCATGGTAAAAAATACTGTGAGCAATGGTAAACAATAACTAGAGCCAAGTGTAAATTTTGGGGAAAATAATTTATTTCCTATCCTCTCAAGGAAAACATTTCCCTTGTAACTCAATTCTCATTTGTACTTGGGCACACAAAGAGAGCATCAAAGGCACTAAATTAAAATGCTGTGGAAAGCAGCTATGTGTAAGGAATTTCATGTACCATTGCATCTAATTCATCAGATCTCTTCAAACCTTGGATAGCAAGATAATACCAACCATGAAATATGTGTTCCTGCTGTTCGAAAACAGGCTACTGCAATGAAAACAAGATGTTCCCAAGGGTATCATAGTCACACAGAACTACCATGCCTAAATAAAAGCTCCATTACTCTAGATGTAGCTATTACATAACTGCAATCCAAGTGCTATGAAAAGGCCTCACACAAAGCTGCTCAAATGTCAGAAAGCAACATATTGCATGAAACAGAGGCAACTAATAAATCTTTGGACTAGAACAGCATCTTGCTTGTCATTCCTTCATAATTTCAGAGATGTGTTTTGGATATTGCTCTTTTCCACTCAGATATTCATAGTTGATGAAACGAGCACCCTGGACACACTGAGCTGCTTCGTTTGTAATGTGGCACGCAAAGAGAAGGAGGTTCCGTGGCTGCACTTTCCAAGCAAACCTCATGAACAGAGCTGAATATAAGCAGAGGGCTGGAATAGACAAGAAAAAAAAAAACATATAGGAAATATAGGGTGATTTTCTTAAACATCATACCATTTAAATATCCTATAACTGTCACTTCCATGAGGCTAGGAATAGGAAACTTGACAATAGTTACAAGCACACGGGGAATTAATTCTCACCAGACTGTAGCAACAAGGTGACATGCACTGTATGGTAGAGATTTTTAAATTGCAAAATGCTTCTCTCAATGTGGAAGAGTTCAGTAGCTACAGTACAGAAAATTTCTGCAATGTATATGGGACACATGTAGCACTTGGAAAGAAATTGTTCTGTGGCTGGTGAAGCAATTAGAATTAGGGCTATACTGATATGAAAATTTGACTGACATGCTGATTCCCTATATATGTTCAAGAAAGATGACTGTTACTAATATTGGTCTTTGTGCTTGGGTATAGGATAGGTCATCTCTGGAAAGCTAGTGACATCAAGATGACATTAACTTGAATTAGGTGCAACAGTTCTGCATTGAGCATAGTGAAAAACCATCACAATGACTTGTTGATTGAAATCACACAGAGTTTCTCCAAAATCACCAAAAATCAAAACAGTGCTTCAAACCACAAGAAAACTAGCCATAAAAGATCAGATCCAGTTATCACAAAAGGTGTTAGTTGTCAGAAAGAGATTAACTATAATAGGAAAAAGACAAGAACACCAAGACCTAGACCATATGGAACATGTATTACTGGACAAGTGCAACCTACATTCAGCATTGGTCCATGATGCTGTACTCATGAAGGCTGCATCTAGAGACCTAAGCATAATGTTTACATTAGGCCTCTGCACATTTAATAGAAGCAGGCATGACTTTAACATTTAAGAAAAATTTCAACAGTAAGGGCTTCTTAAAGGACTCAATAAGAATGCAGCTGCCTCTTACATGTGCTCTTTCATCTGCTGCCATTTAGCAGGAAGAGATTGCGCTCCTGATGGCATCTTGCATCTGGCCATGTGCTTTTAAGTTTCAAGTTCCATACACCAGAAAAAACCCAAATAGCATCAGCCACTGTCATTTTGTAGAAGTTCCTGGGACTGCTACAAAATGCAGGGAATTTGAAGTTGGGGAATGGCATCCAATATGTGTCGGGTGTACAAAAATAAAATTTGCATTAAAAAAATCGGGAAACTGACAGGTCCCAAGATTGGTTTCACTTGTTTCATGGAAAGAGCAGGAATCAGCCAATGTCTGATCTAAGGATCAGTACAGCCTTAATTATAATTCATGCAACTGTGTTCTATGGGGCTTCTGAAAGGATTGAATGCATGAATGTAACCCCCACACTGTTGTGGAGTCAAAGGAAGCAAAAGTGGGATTAGATTTTCAACATTTTCAAGGAAACACAGAAGGTGATAATGTATGATTGTGCTCTGCACCTACGTCATGATACTGAACCGCAAGAAGGACATATTGAACATGCCCTTCATTGAGCAATCAATCTCTGATATGTGCTTGGGACTATTGCCAAGTTTCCCATTCTTAGTTTCAACAACACAAGAGATATGCCATTTTCAAATGGTAAGATGTTTAAAATGTCACCCTGTACAAGACACAGGTTTTTTTTGTAGAGGCTGGATTGTATAGAATGGAAGGTTCTTAAGTTCTGACAATTCTTGTGACTTGATGTACATGAATACTCTTGGTTGAAGGGATCTTGTCTTGGGAATGCAAGGACAACATTTTTGGTTGATTAATTGAAAGGTTCTTTTTTATCATAAAAAAATATAAGTGGCTCTTTAAAATTCAAGTGAAAATGAGTTAGGTTTTCAATGAAGCAAAATTGAAAAAAAACCTCCACAAAAATTTAAAAAAATTGAGCAAATGCACCAGAGAACCTTCTGAAATTTTGTGTGCAGCTGCTTCAGGCTGCATGATGGTACTCCAGTTACGTAAGTAAGGATTCAGAGAAGACAGGCCTTACATCTAGCATAACTCATGAGCCAGGTCAGCCATCAAAATTGGAAGAGAAAAAATGATATAAATGATACAAATTCATCATAAAGACATAGGTTTCCTCTACCCAAGAGACAGGATACTTATTATGGCACCATTCAAGCAATTTTGCAACTTTCAGATTCTCACTGATATTGGTTGACCCAACCTTGAGTCATTCTTGATGGAAGTCTTCTTACCTTCTCAAAACTGCATATGCACTCCATCAGGAGCATGCCCAGGAAATCCAAATGTGGGGGGTTGTCACATGAAACACTGATAACCCACCCTAATAAGGGGGGAGGGGGGGGGGAGTTATCAGTGGTTATGGCCCCCAGAAGCCCAAAGCTCCCATTGGGGCTATGACCCCCAAAACCCTCCCCCTTGGGCATGCCACTGCACTCCATGAAGGTTCCTTCCTTCATAGATACTGCCCCTATTTATATTAATTGCTGTTAGAAATACAGTTAGACCGGAAATAGGGCTTGAGTCTTGGAAGGGTGACGGTGTTTTTAAAGGAAAATCAAGAGCATTTTCTCAACATTTCCATTTAACAATATACCGACGAGCTGCTTCCTTGACACAAGAAACACTGGAAATAAAATATCCAGGGGAGTTTTCTGAGCAATGGAATGCCTCAAAACAGAGACTGTTTCATGTAAAGTTGCTTTCTCAGATAAAACAGGGACAATCTGGTTTGGTCACTCTAGTTCAGGGGCTACCTGAACAAAATCGACGAAAAATTGGAGCAAAAAAAAATACAGCTAGGTCGAGGGCTGGAACTGAATGGCATGGCTTCGAGGTCGTTTAACTTGAGAATCCGAGAGTCATACCAAAAGTCATCTTTCCACTGATGAGGGAAGGATCTTTCTTGAAATCCGCGATGGCAGCAATAGGAATTCCCCAGTTCGCCACGGGACCCCAGAAATGCGTACTGAGATGCAGCAGAAAATAAATCTCCCTTGCTCACCACAGGCTAAAGAAGAGGAAATGTTAATATGAAGAAAAGATGAAAGTGCACCTCATCAAGTACTCCCGGAATTCCCTGCTGTTGAGATGTGCCCATGCTCGCAAGAGCAGTCTAGATGCCGCCATGATTCCTCACTTCTGGTTGTATATTTCAGCTCTTTAACGTAAAACCTATTGGAACCTGGAAAACAAAGCCTTGCGAAACCTAATCCCACGTCATGATACCATGCATTTTTTATTTAGAAGATTCATGGGTAAAATGTGTAGAGTTCAGCTCTGCCTGCAAGAAATTCATAAATGGACGAGACCTAATTGGTGATGGGATCTGACAATCGATGCGCCTTCCTGGAGGAGCATGCGGATTGCGCACGGGGAACGGGAGTCAGCTGGCCTAGGTCAAAGTTTCAAGTCCCGATGGCGTTCTTCATGTTTCCCCCTCCATTCCTTCTCTAGTTCCGATGTCTGTGATACATGAAGAGTCTATGTAGAAGTCTTGCGCACCATCTACTCATGAAGCTAATAATGCGGATAGGACTAAGGGAATCAGGTTAATCTGCCTAGGTCGAGATCCTTAAAGAGATTTTCTTTTTTCAGGATCTTAGCTCATCTGAGGAGGTTCCGCTACAATCCAATCCTTGTACATTTATACCTTCTTCAAAAGTGAGCTAAGCATGGCCAGTGGGAAGATTCAGACAGGTAAGTTAAGATTCTTCAGGTGTGCACTTCTCGTTGCTAACTTGTAGGCGTATTATTTCTTTGAATATTTGATTTATGGCATTACAGTGTTGGGCCCCATCAACCCAGAAGACCTTGGGATTACAATGGCTCATGAGCATTTATCCATGACTTTTGATGTTGCCTATGTGCCTCCTCCAAAAGGAATGGAAGGCATGTCTGAGTGTCCATTCACAATAGAAAACCTTGGCTGGATTCGTCAATATCCGTAAGACCTTATAAATCGTCAGCCTATTTGATTACATAGCACCCAATAGAAATTAATTAGCATCATGTTGGCTAAATGATTGGCATCAAAGTTGAATTCAGTTTCAGCCATAAGGAGAATTTGCAGCTTTGTGGTTCTGAGGTAGTAGAAGCTGTGAAGAAAGATCTTGAGCAATATAAAGCATTGGGAGGACAGGGAATAGTGGAATGCACAACTCATGGACTGCAGAGAAAAGCTGGTCTGTTGAGGGATCTCAGCCGAGAGACTGGCATTCACATCATTGCTGGAACAGGTTCCAGATCATTTTTCTTTCCCCTCAAGCCTTCTCCATAGCTCTGGGTTTGCATTATATTGCATGCCTATTATCTCATTAGGATTTTACGTGGCAGGGGCTCAACGGATGGATGTCTTAAATCGCCCTATGGAAGTGTTGGTTAAGCTCATGGCCACGGAACTTCAAACTGGCTGTATTGATGCTGCTGATGTCAAGTGTGGCATTCTGGGGGAGATTGGAACCAGCTGGCCTCTACATGGTGAGCAAGTCTACCTGCTTAATAAGTTAAGCATAATAATAGTTTGGTTTTGTTCACATTATCCAAATTGATATTAAAAAATTCAAACCTACTCTGTTTTCAGATTTAATTCATACCCCTCTATAAGAGTGCTTCCATCAATTGCAGCTAGTGACATCTTCTAAATGGCTGGTTACATCTATCACTTGGGGAGATGAAGTGGGGCCTCTGGAAGTTGTCTTTCCTCCATTTGCCTCTACAGGGTGGACCATAAATATTCACATCCAATCAAAGCCTTGTATTTACTACCTTGTATTACTGATAACTTCTCATGGAATCAATTGAATCTCAATAAGACACAAGGGCTCACAGTAACTATTTACAAAATATGTTCAATGTTCTTCTTGACAGCAATCTGGAATCTTTGAGTCTGTCAGTCGATCACACTGGATGGACATGGTTTCACTCCTCTTTCAGCATGAAGCTTAACTGGTTCAGGTCACTGGATTTTTTGTTTATGGGCACTTGCTTCCAGTAGACTTTGCATACAGTAATCAGTTTGGTTACAGTCAGAAATGTATGGGGGGGTCATTCGTATTCTTTGATTATTTCTGCCTCATGGCCAGCCAGGCAATTTTTTGAACCTCAAGCCAATTCTAGGTGGAGAAGGATATATGTTAAAACAGCAAGGTTGACCACCAAAAAGACCCTCACATAGAGAAGCAAAACATTTTTCTCATTACTGTTTTTAGGCATACAGAAATAGAAAAGTTGAAGTGATATAAATATTTATGGCCTGCCTTGTATAGGGGAAGTATGAATTCAATCTGAAAACAGTGTATGTGATATTTAGCTCCATATCAAATTTTACCCTCTAAGATTTGGTACTACATGGCACTCCCTGCAAATATCTAGGGACCCATCATAAGAATTACATTCCATATTTCATTCACAGGTGTTTGATTTTTCTTACCATACCACACTAATTGGAAAGAAAGGCTGTGGCCTACACAGCAGGCCTGCCCCTACAGGGATTTTTATAGAAGAGATGTTGGATGTGGCCTCCATATCATAGCACAAAGGCCCTCAATTACAAACCTGTGCTCTTGTCCCTTTTTTCAATAACAAACTTCCTTTCATTAATTTCTCATAGCTTTGCCTTGGTGCATCCAAATTGTATGGAAGTTCATTAGGACGTCAGCCTATGCAGAATGTGAACTTTATGAAAATAGCTGCAGTGAGAAGCAGATATTTATTGGCTAAGTCAATTTTAGCCATATGCTATTGTAAAACCTTTTTTTTTTTCACTTTCATGTATTTCACTTTTTGTATATTTATCAATTGAATTTATATTTTGGAAAAAACAAAGGCAAGGAATGCCATTTATGAAATTTAAGAAGGCAGTTTCCAGAAACCTTCAGGAGTATAGAGACCGGAGGTGGACACCAGTATGACAAGAATGTTGAGGCTAATTGTGTGTAGCCTTGTTTCTCAGTGGAACAGTAGAAATTTCAGGAGCCTTTGGATCTCATAAGTATTTAGAGGGTAGAAAGGAGTAATGTCCTGTTCATATATGTTATGTTTGGGGATTAAAGGAAATGATCCAGTGGCAGAAAAACCTAAAGACATTTTCACTCAAGCACTCATGCTTGAATTTTCTGAGTTTCATGTTATGCAGCTTCTAGACCTATGTCAACATCGAAATGCCAAAGCTGCTGATAGTTACTTCATCTCAAAGGAAGAGATGATAAAACTTACTCTATGAAATGTAGTTGAGAGAAAAACTGTTTAAACCTACATACAGGCTAAGGCATGAAATAGTTTTTATGTTCCTATTTTCTTGGACTAGTAATACTGTACTTGAGCAAAACTCATGGTGCTTTGTGAACCATAACTTTCACAGATTTCACACTTATTGGAGCACAAATTGCAAAATTCTTTTTTTTTTCAGATGTAGCCATTACAATGGTGTGCAGAAAGTGAATAACTCACTTAGTGTTAAATGAAGATATGATGTACCTTTGCTGTTGCTGGATGGTGTGATTCTGCTAGCAAATACTACAATGAATCAGTGTGGCCTTGTTGAACAAAACTGGAATGTATACAAGTATATCAATAGAATAACAGGTCAGCATTTCAGATATGATGCAGCCAAAACTGTGGGTCCAGTTTGGGGGCCCAGAGTAAAGTGAGGGCTTTTGATCTGTTGCAAGTACATGCTGTTGAACAAAGAGGTAATAGTAAATATTAAAACCATAAAAGATAACCATTACTTTTTTTCTCCATTTATTTTTCTCTGTCTGTGCCTAATTTCACTTTGCACCCTTCCATGAATGAGATGGATATGCAATGGGCCATTCATTTCTGAAAGGAAAAATATGTGTAATTACAGCTCAAATTCCTTTGTTAGAAGCATCCTGAGGCAAAAGCAATTGCTGAGGTGTGGATTGAATTGCATCAGGAACTTAGGAGACATGAGCTCCTTCTTCCAATGCAAAAACAGGGTTCTCTCCTGTTGCTTGATACTAAGGCAATTTGAGTCAGGCAATTAGATTGCATCAGATAGTGTAAATGAAGTTTTAAGGTTTGTATGCTATGGAGAGATAGCTGTAGGATTCAAAGGGCTCCATAAAGGAGCATTGGAGGAAAAACTAAGTGGTCTCCAATCACAGACTTCGAGAAGTGTGTGCTGGAGGCAGCAGCACAAGTTCAACGCATTGTGGGTTGCCCAGTCATGTTTGGACCTGGACCTCATCATGAAGCTCCACTTGAAATTGTTCGATTGTTTCAAGAAGCTGGGGGAGACGCTAGCAAAGCTTCCATGGCTCATCTGGAATGTGAGTTTCATATTATACTCCATTTGAGAGATCTTGTTAGTTGTTCCATTTTATGGTCCTCATGGGTTATTGTCATGAGCATTCACATGGCATTTGAGTGTCTCATACAGGGTGGTGCACAAAAACTTAGACCATTTCAAATCCTTATAGAATTCTTATTTTTCTTCTGATACTTCTGAGACAAAGTCTATTAACCCTTTCAGTGCCACAGTATTATGGGTCATGCATTCCCACCAGGCCAAGGTTTTTTTTCAAGAAATCTAACTTTACAGTTAATTTTACATATCTATGTATGAATTTCTTTGTTTCCAGAGGTTGTTTGTGGGAAAGGTGTGTTATATTTTTAATCGAAGCTCTTTGAACTTCCAGGTGCAAATTCAAATGGTTAGGAGGCCAAATGAATGTATTCGGGTTTGGCATAGAGGGCTTGAACTTGAAAATGAATATATGCAGGCAGGTTTGGTGCTTTCTAGGTTAAAAAGTGCAACTGAAAAAGTTTTATTAACACTGCCTTTATCTTTTCAGATTTGTTGAAATGGTGCAAATAACTGAAGAAAATAAATACTCATAGTTGAAGAATATCATGCGTCCTGATGGCAGGACGCATTTTTTGACAAAAAAAATGCGCGTGGTCCCACGCGGCGGACAAGCAAAAATAGGCTGGTCATCAACATGTTAACACTGTCTTTTTAACAAGAATAGGGTAATTAGTCAAATGATATTCTTCAACTATGAGTATTTATTTTCTTCAGTTATTTGCACCATTTCAACAAATCTGAAAAGATAAAGGCAGTGCTAATGAAACTTTTTGAGTTGCCCATTTAATAGACTTGTCTCTGTATTGGAACAAAAATTAGAATTTTATAAGGATTTAAAATGGTCTAAATTTGTATGCACCACCCTGTATAAGGAGTTGCTATATGGTTCCTGGCTTAAGACCACTGCTGTCCAACTTTGTTTCATTAATTCAAACATCACAATGTTGAAAATTCTTACAAAATTGATATCAAAGCATTGAGTCAATCACTCAGGAAGTTCAGAAGAGGCTTTTTTTTTTCCTGCATTGAAGCAGTGCAATATTTTAATCAATACATTTATTTTACATACAGATCTTTTAGATGCTTTTTTTTTTTTTTTTTTCAATATGCTTTCATGTTTCATTTCTTTCTCAAAAGAGAAGCCAAGGCATTGCCATAGCCTAAAGATCATGAGGTGAGGGTCTTCACAATGATGGAAATGAATGGAGGGAAGTTTTTATAATGGAACAACTATTATCTCATTCATGTGAATGTAATACAAGCCATCTGGACTTCTAGATAAATCAGATGCCTAGGAACTTCATTCTTTCCTTCTATTCTTTAGGTACAATCCAGGATGAGGGCCAACTCTCTGAATTTGCTGAACTGGGAACTTACATGCAGTTTGACCTGTTTGGTATGGAATCCTCACAATATCAGCCAAATGAAGCTGTTGATATGCCATCAGATGCACAGCGTATTCAACGTCTTTGGCAATTGGTTGATGAAGGATTTGAGAAACAGATCTTGGTCTCTCATAACATCTCCACTCGACATCGACTTGTATGTTTATGCTCCAACTGAAATTTGTTATGGGAATATTATCTCTACCAAAACCACGTCTTTATGAAAGTTTTTATCTTTTGTTTTCAGAGAGCCTTTGGAGGACATGGATATGGGCACATAATGCAGAACCTGGTGCCAAGAATGCAAAATCGAGGCCTATCACAAGCTATCATTGATCTCATCCTCAAGGACAACCCAAGAGATTTCCTCACTTTCAAGGATCTCTAGTCTTCAAGTCTAGTCATGTGACCTGTGTCTTAGCCAAATATCGTGGGAGAAACTTTAAGTGTCAAATCAGCTAGGCTTCTTTCTGGCACCATGATGTAGTACTTCTCTAATTTATTTTATTTATACAGCTGTTTATTTTTTTATAGCCAGCCTCTTGTTATTTCAGCTTAGGCCTATAAGGAGTATAATCTCAAAAAATGTTGATCTCATGTCATGTCTCTCTGGTCAGCAATTGTGTCATTCCATGTTTTGTATTCATCTAGTCAACTCAGGATAAAGTATGTAGGAAACTGCCCAAGAGGTGTCTCTGCATACCAGGGCGGTCAGGAGAAATCTGATGTTCAATATCCCCTCAAGCTGGAAATTTATTTTAACAACAAAAACTGAAATACATTTTTAAGTGAGGTATGAAATCATACCCTCATAGTTTCATGTGTGGGCAGCTGTCTTCTGCCAGTCTAATCATTTGTTCATTCTTTTGGAGAAATATGCAGATTCCCATATACTGGGTGAGGCATAGGTAATGTTCATAAGTAATCACTCTTTGAAATTTGTTGACGAGATAGCAAAGAAACATTTTTTAGAATGACTCCAACATGCATTCTCAACTTCTTCTCAGCCATTTTCCTACATGAGCAACTTTGGAAAAGCAACTTGGAGTTGGTTTTTTGTGCTTGAAAAAGTTTTAGGAGTTTTAGCAGGAGAGTGGTTGATATGTGCATTGTGCATCAATTTTGAGCCAATGCTCCTCCATCTGTCCTAGAAAATCTTTCCATCTTCAAAAGGATGTGGTGGAGCAAGAATTTCGCTAGAATTTTCCTTTAAGGAATGGAATAAAATTAATTCAATATTTAACAGATTGATTCATATGCTGTGAGAAACTGGCTTATCTGAGAGGGAGTAAGTGGTAGACCAAACTCAACTGAAGAAACTGCATTAATATGGAAGAAGTCATTTTTTCTCAAGATGAAAATCCAGGGGTGCAAAATTCCCAGCTCTAACTGCTAGAAACAGATGGAAGTTTGAAGATATGCTTGACAGATTCTGAAGTTCAGAGGGAAAAAGCCTTCAGAGCAGGGGAGCTTCAGAGCAACCTTTTTGCACCTACAGATCCCCCTTACCTCCAAGTATGACCCATGGACCCCAGGTTAAGAATCCCTGCTTTAGAGGAATTACCATTCCTCATTGATGCCAAAGGTCATTGTCAAGGTGCAGGTGCAAAAATAGCATTTGATTTGCCTTTGTAAAACTTCTCTGTGGCAAAAGTAGATGGAGATGAATGGAAACAAATATTTGACTGTTTAGAGGATAGATATAAAAAAATTACTGCTATCTGCTGGTTCAAAAATACCACAGAATTTCAAAGAGTGACACTTCTTTTTTGTCTCACCTGGAATATTTAACCACTGCAAAAAAAGGACAGCACCTCCCTTCATTTCATGACTGAAATAAAGGGAGGCTAAACCAAGGTGGGAGGTCACTCAGTTCCGCATGGAGTTTTCCTGCTGCTGTGGAGATGTATAAAGGCTATAACCAATTTGAGGGGTTAGCACATGAATGGTTTGTACTAGTATATAACTAAGTTGGTGGTGCATGGAAGTTAGGAGTCACAGCTACTCAAGTGATAGTTTTAAATCAGGGAAGAGAATTCTACTCCCTTGTGGTCTCAAGTGCTATGCAATGTAAGGGCAATGTGATTTATTAGATGGTGGAATAAATGCTTTCAATCTCACCTCATCTTGTTACTCACAACTGGTACATGAGATAAAGCATGTACCATCTTAGTATAAATATAGGTTTTGGAGAAAATAACAATGAGAAGCAATATATGGAAAGACATACATATACTGTACTTCTTTGGTCTCCTTAGTGTATAGAATATGAATTGATTTTCCCCTTTCCAGACTTTGAAAAGAGAGTCATTGAGGCAGCTGCTGAGGTACAACAACAGACTGGTTGCCCAGTCAACTTCCATCCAGGAAGGCACATCAAAGCACCATATGAAGTGCTGCGTATATTTGGTGAAGCGGGAGGAGATGTCCGACATATGGTCATGTCACACCTTGAACGTGAGACTTCTACCCTTTTTACCCCAAAACCCAAAGCAAGGCTAGCAGGGGTGTATGAATTGCTTAGGAACAATCAATGATGAGGGGCAGCTGTTGGAGTTTGCTGAACTGGGTTCATACTTGGAGTTCGACTTGTTTGGTGTTGAAGTATCCAATTATCAGCTGAATGAGGAGATTGACATGCCTTCAGATGCACAGCGCATTCAACGCATCTGGCAACTGGTGGATGAAGGATACGAGAAGAGCATCTTAGTATCCCATGATATCTATTCTCGACATCGCTTGGTCTTGTTTCTATTTGTTCTCCAAGAACTGAACATCTTGAGAATAGATCTACTCAAAAGTACCTTCTGTCCTTACAGAGGAAATATGGAGGGCATGGATATGGGCACATCCTGGAGAATGTCTTACCCAAAATGCTCAATCGAGGACTCTCTCAGTCAGTCATTCATTCCATCATCACAAGGAATCCAAGGCAGCTACTGACTTGGAAATAAAGTTCCCAAATTATACTCATATGCATTTAAAGCAAGATTCCTTACTTGTATTGACTGAATGTGCTGATATATGCCTACTGTTGTGTATACTGTGTCCTGTTCAAAATCTGAGAAAAAGGTTAAAAAATTAGGTTAAAAAAAATAGCAAGGCTCTTTGTGCATATTAGAACATGTTTGTAGATGTCAAAGAAAAACAATTGAGTAGAAAGTAACAGAATACAAATGTCTCACAAATGTCAAGGTGATGAGAGCTTCTTCCGTTAACCTTTAGCATATAGATTCAAAATTTTTTTTTTTTTTTTAAATCTCCAGTTGACATTGAAATCAGGGATTTAATTGCAAGGAACCCGCTTGTTTAAAGTTTAATCTCAATTGAGTCTATTTATTTGTATGATCTATATATCTGATGAACAATGTGGATAGATCCATCATTCGGATGGGAAAGGTTAAGGGTCTTTTATTGCTCCACCACACAGCTATTGCAATTCTATTGGAGCCAATCACATTGTGTAGAGATGATTGCATAAATTTCTTTTTTACCTAGCCCCTTACAAACTAAGCAGTGTGAATGTTGCACATCTACCATTTCTATTGACTGGAGAAATTCCTGAATTTCCACCTGGACTACTGAATAAAAGTTCATGGAAAAGTAATATCTACAGTGTCCAACATAGGTAATGATGGGCCATATAAAAAATTTGCAGCCAGAAATAATACTGTATTCATTGTAATAGGTGGAGAAATCACAGTTTATCACATACACTAAACATACCTATTTGTCAATGAAGAGTCTTGAGATGCTTCTGAATAAATGATAGGAGAGAGGCAGAATCATTGGATATGGTTAAGGATGCACCATAGACCTTTTTCCACCTTGTTCTTTCTCCCCTGATAAAAATTAGAAATAGTGCATTCTGTAGAATTGTGCAAAAATTGAAGTGATGGTCCTTTTTTTCTTGTGATAGTGAAGAATGAAACACAGGAGTGGGAAAAGGCACATACTTCTTGTCTCCCTTGGCATGGTGAATCCCAGAGAGACTGAGAAGAAGCTGCTGCAGCTTCTTTACAAGGAGACCCAGGAGTCTCTTTAACTCATCCTCTTCTTCTACAGTCTCATCCTCTTTTTCCCCTCTTTCCTTGCTCTCCTTCTGCCCCTCCTCTTTTCCAGCATTGTCTTGATCCCCTTATCAGGAAATAAAATCTAATTTAGTGGCAAGCAATCGAGGACAGATATAATGCAATGACTGATAGTCTCCATATACTAACCTGTCTCTGGTGACTCATGTTTCTCCAGAAGAGATAAAATTTTTGGACTTTCCCCAGCAATAAGGCCCAATGCTGATAATACTATTTTCTCTGTTCCATTTCCTCCTGCCATAGGGAGAAAAAACCAAGCCAATTATACTTAAGTATATATAAATTGCAACTTGATATGAGAGTGATTCACAATACAGTTCCTACCAAGATCAAAGAACTCAATGAGAGGAATGTTCTCAAGTAGGACAAGAAGAGCTTCCTTTGGGTGCTCAAGGGTAAGGAAGAGATGTAGTGCTAAGGCATAATGCTTCTCAGCCAGCTGTCTCAGGCTTCCCACCTTCCGCCCTACCTCCTTGCCCCGCTTCCTGTGTGTACAAAAACAACAAAGCATGGCCTTTGTTTCCATGATGTTATCTCATTCCCTCCCACCTTGCTAACTAACACTGATGACATAAAAAGCAATTGTGAATCCATGGCAAAGGAATCCCTGCAGCTGAACCTTATCCTGCAAGTACGCCCCCTTTCTTTGTGAATTTGGATACCATGTCACCAGGAAATAGTGGGAAAAAAGCATGGTAACTGGCAAGAATCATGAGATTCTGCTTATGATATAAATTGGGATGTGAAGGTCAAGTTCCTTGATATCAATCCTAAATCCAGTGCTGCCTACCCTGAAATATTGTCTCAAGCCCTGGACATCAGACCACTACTAAGATTCTTCACTAAGATCAAGAAGTATGAAGGAGTGAAATAAAGAGACCTATGAAGGTCAAACCTGAAAAATGTTTCCATGGCAAAGAAGAGAAAGTCCCACTTTGAGTTCAGCAATTTCTTTCTTTTTGGTCTACTAACTTTGGGAATTTCATAGAGGGGCTTGCCATGATCACATGCATCATCTCATTGGCAATGGGAAGGGAAAAATTACAGTGGTGCTACTCATATCAAGATCATGCCCATCACATCTTGGCTATGTAGGGAGCATTCCATCAATGTAGAACAATAAGTCCTCAGCACATATATGATTGACATAATATACACTAAGGTGCAAAAGTCCTTGCCCCTGGCATAAGCCAACTTTCTGGAAGCATATCTCTGGATATTTCTGGATAAATTTTTCGAGAACTCTCTAGATGGTGAGGAAAGGTGTATATATAGCTGTGAAAACTGCAAATCGTTGTAAAATTTTTGAGATGGGAAAAAATGCCTAGACAACAAAATTCTACTTCACCGAAAAAGCAATAAACTACTTTACACTTCTGGAACGACCATCGATCTCCTTTCATAATTGCTAGTTGGACAAAGATCCCCATTTTGACTGTCAAGTACAATATTGCCAAGATTAAAGAACAAGGCATGGTGGAGAACTGCTGTAGTGGCTGACCTCACAAGGTCACTGATGCTGACAAGGCACTTGTCTCTCAGTTTCATCGAATCCACTGGACAGCGGCAAAAGAACTGGCACAAAAGTTGCTTCAGGACTGAGGTCAGCACATGTCCTGATGGTTAGTATGACACTAGCTCACACAGAAGGGCTTTGCTTCATGCGACGCCAATGTTGACACAGAAGCACAAAGATGCACGGGTCCAGTGGGCTATTGTTTTCAAGAACAACAGTGGGAGCTGAACAGTATTCACCGACAAGACCTACCAATTATTCAGAGACATGTTTGTTGATGGTCAAAGAATCCAAGAGGTGAGGTTGAGCGAATCCTGAAGAACAGACAGAAGATTATGGTGTGGGGTAGCTTCAGTGTCATGGGCCTGGTCGGCTGCCATTTGAGAGAATTATGGATGGCCCTTACTAAATTCAAATCCTTCAAGATCACCTCCTATGTAGCACCAGAAGGCAGTTCAGTCAACACTGGTGACTGCAGCAAGACAACAATCCCAAACACAGAAGTCAAGTGACAAAGCAGTTCCTACTCGAGGAAGCATCCGAAACGATAAACTGGTCATCAAACAGTCCCAACGTCAATCCAATAGAGAACCTCTGGTCAATCCCCAAAAAGCAGAAACCATCAAATCTCAACAAAATGGACAGATTTCTGCACAAAGAATGGGACAGAATCAACTTGGTCACAAAATAATTTGGTTGCATCAAGTTGATGCAAGCATGATGTTTACCTTTGATTGCCACGAAGGGGGAGAGGATCAACTATTAATTGTGATACTTTAGTATCTTGTCCCATGCCTTATCTATGAATAAAATTGGTTTTTATATTCATCCCATCCACCCTGAGAAATACTTGAAATACTGGGGGCAAAGGCTTTTGAACCTTAGATTACATCATACACACACACACATGCATGGGAGTGCAATTTTGTTTCTCTAGATGCTCTCAGAGAGGAAAGAGAGGAGGTTGAGTTTTGTAACAGAAAGGAGTTGAAGAGAGAGAATAGGTGCTATCAAAGCCTATTGATGCTAAATGGATGAAAAAGAGGTACAGACATGTGCTGCCATCTATCCATCACTTGGAAAGTTAAGTTTCTCCAAAATTCCTGTTCCCTCACTTTTGCCCCATCCTGTATAACTATTATAAGCATCGCATGTTTCATAGAGCATGCCAAGACTACTGCTGGCCCAATCTAGTGTAAGTGAAGAGAAGCCCAGTCCCCTGGCCAAAAACCTGCATAAGTAATTGTTTTTTTTTTCCTTCCGAATATTTCTTCAAGAGCACAAAGCAACTAATGCATCTATGATGAACTGGGACATCTCCTTCAAGAAAACTTCCTTGATCTAAAAACAGAAGCAACAATCATTTATGTCCTGAAGCAATGGTGGGTGGATCTGATGCACTTGCAGGAACTGGGGCATACCCTCTCCAATGGACAATACTTTCAGGTAAGAAATTATGAGCATTGAGAATCTCATTGATGAGGTATTGAAAAGGAACTGAGAGGAGGATTCATGGGAAGAGCAGCAGATGTGAACACATAATTGTCTCACATGGCTCAACCATCTTCATGCCACAGAACAGACACAGAATGATAGATTTCTACCATATTGTTCTCTGCTAATAGGGATAACAAAATCAGGCCAATAAAGAATGATCTGTAATAGCTTATGGTTCCTCACCTTATGGTTCCATGATGCAGAGAAGCCAATTTATGATGTATGCAGGCAGCTCGATAGAGATGTAGGGCTTCCGAGGGAGAGGATCCTTTACCTCGAGATGCAGATGAGTCATCCTCATTGCAGAACTTGAGAGCACGTTGAAGCAATCGCACCACCTCCTTCTCCACCTCATCAGAAGTCTGAAGGAAAAATCATTCCATCACACAGTGGCCATCCCTACAATGAACAATGTGAGAGACCTGGAGCTAACCATGAAAACAAGTGGAGCATTTTCTAGCATGAGGCTGGCAAGAGTGAAGAGAGTTGAGCCCAGTTCCCATGTGATGGAGTCATAGATTGGGGGCTGACAGCTCCGCTTCCCAATTGCACTCAAAGCATCTTCATACCACCTCAAAGCCTATCAAAAGAATTTCTCAACTTTCATGTAAGACATTCTTTACACATGAATATGTAGGCCTGTCCATAAAAGCCTACTTCATTGTAGCATTCTTTCTGTCGCTGGGAGAATCCATCTTCTGACTGATTGACATAATGAGCCTTCATGCGCATGAGGCGGCCATGATTAGAGGATAGAAGGGCAACATTTGGTAGATCACGTATCCTTTGAAAAAGGGAGACTCCAGAGATAAGGAGTTTGCTGCTCTCTTCCAGTAGATCCTTAACAACATTGGAACCTTTTCCCTCTTCTTCCACTCTTGTTCCCATCATTCCTGTGAGCAGGAAATAGCTGTTCACACAAAATGCTTGTGTCTTTAGTAAACCATGCCATGAAGACATAGTTTAGTACCCCTTCATAATGTTTTTTCTCAAAGTGGACAAAGAATAGCAATATAAGAGGTCAGGTTCACTTCTTCAAGCCTAATGAGGTTGCTGAAGTAAGAAGTTGCTTTTGGTACTTTTCTGGTCCATGTTACAGTTGAGCATCAAATACAGGAAATAATGAAAAGAATTTAAAGGTGCACCGGTCACTGCAGCATGCTTCCTCCCAGCAGAAAAGGGTCCAAAGTAAGCAGGTGCATGGATTATTTTGTTCAAGAAATATCCTACAAACAATCCTATGGTCAAAAGCCATAACCTACCCATTGTACTTTGCCCTCCTTTGAAAGGATAGGTGTTGATAAGGGCCTTCTTTAGCCAAATTTTTTCATGGAAAACAGAAATTCACCAGAGGCTGATAAAATCAGCCCTGGATGTTGGCCAATATATGCAACTTCCTGAACCATATTTCTCTTCGACATTACATGATTTGCTAAGAAAAATCTTGCAATATTTCAGGGTCATAGGATGAGTGTAAAATAATGAAAACTTGCTGAATTTCACTTGCTGAATATTTAAGAAATAGAGGAAGAGGGACTTATTGATAATGCCAGTTTTCATTTCTTCCCTCAAGCCACTTTATTATTATGCCATTGCTGAATGTTCCACCGAAACATTCAGTTGAGGCATCATTTTCAATGGTAATTTTGCCAATTTTTGGGGGCTTTTGATAAATGTTGGTTAATTAGGATGCATACATTGAGCTGATGCTAGGCATTCTCAATTAACCTATGCTGATCAAATGCTTGAAAATGGCAAAATTTCCTATGGAGATATAGTTTTAAATGAATAGGTGAATTGGCTTACTGCCTACATCTTGCATGTTTATTCTATTTTTAGCTTAACCATGGAGATGAATTCAATCAATTTTTTTTTCTTGAATCCATGCATGAAGACCATTATTGCCTTACAGTAGAATCAGAATCCAAGATAGGGCCAAGATCAGTCCTTATAGACACCTATCCTTTCAAGAGTTCCCACAGAAATGAACTACTATAGGAGTTACCAGTTGAGTGGCAAGTAGAAGCTTGCCTCAATGCACCCTTTGTGGCAAATTTATTTCCATTGGAAATTAATTTGTACTCCACGTGAACATTTTGGCTTTGTACTACCAAAATAACTCATTTCAGACATAGCTATGATGAATCAATTCATCATACAAATTTGATGGGTAAGAGTTTTTGATGTGTCAAACTAAGTACCCACAAACTGAGCAAACTTCCTGGGCAAATGATGGAGTTAATGTAGAAATTTGCGCTAAATATAATAACTCAAACACACAAGGCCTCATCTAATGGAAGAAGGTCCCAATCTTCAGATACTCACGAGAAGCTGAATTCATCAGAAAGACACCCAATTCATTGTGAGCATTTCCCAGACGTCTGGAGAATGCAATGCAACCTTCTTCAGTGGAAACCAGCTCAAGCCCAGTCTCATAACATGAGACGCTACATCGGAGACTCTCCTCCAAGGATGATGGAAACTTGATATCAAACTCTGGGAGACAGCGATCAGTTTGATAAATCTAGTGATGCAACAAATAGTTTGCCTAAATTTCTGTTGCTTCTCTCCTTACCCTTTACAAGATTTTCTGACGATGAAGAGATGATGATGGTCGCAAATTCCTGAAGCTTCTTGTCAGAGGAGGAGATATTGGAGAAGTCTAGGAAATGCTGAGATGCTTCCACCTTTCCCCAATTTTGAACAAGGAGGCAAAATGCATCACCTGCTATTCCAAGAGCTTGTGCCCGAATCCCTGACACATCTTGTGATGGCTCCACCATGCTTACCAGCACCTCATGACATCTCAATGCCTATCATAGCCATGTGTGTTTATTTTACAATAAAAAATAAAAAATCATTCACCCTCTATAATCATCAAAGTCATGAGTGGAACAGATGCTTAACAAAACTGACCAGCTGAGCAAACTTCAGAGCAGCCCCATGCTGCAGTTGTGTTTGAGCCTGCTCTCCTAATGTGAGGTAAGCAGTGGATGCCTTCTGCCATAATAAAGCTGTGAGTTGAAGATGCCATGACGTAGAGAGGTCAAAGGAGAGCTTCTGAAATGGGACCAGGAATGAGAGCCGAGCCTCAGATGCTGGACGGGATCGTGCCCGACATAATGCCTGCACTTCAACAGCATCCTCATCTCTCTTCTCATCAGCCAGTCGACAATATGGCATGGGGATAGGCTCCCATGGCCTCGGAATACAACGTTCAGTCTCATAGTCACAAGAGTCCCCATGACCCATCCCACTGGGGATCAAACACAATAATGTAAGCATATTTGAAGAAACTGATAGCAAAATATGAGAAGTGAGAAAAAAAATAGAGGTCCATTATTGGACTGACCTGCCCTTGGTAGTGAAGGAATCCTTCACAGGGCCTTGAAGAACCTCAAGTCCCTCGACAATCGTTGATAGAGTTATATGGCACCTCTCACAAACACTTTCAGTCACAGGGACGACATGAAACTTAGCTTCTTCATGAGACATTGAGCGACTGAGACAAAGAGATTTCACATCTACACTGCTACACATCTCAGTACCCTCTCTCTCCGGCCAGCTACTTGGGCCATCCTCTTCATCATCTTCAACTTCACTATCCTCAGACTGATCCTCAAATTCTGGATTTCTAGGGTTGATGTTGTCTGGAAGGTAGATGTCTGAAAGTATGTAGTATGCTGAAGCCACCTCCTGCATATCATAGGAATTCATCTATGAACCATAACTTGTAATTTTTAATGATAATTGACCTTGCCAGGATGCCAAGTAGAAAACAAACTTTTGGATACTTGGAAGGATTAAGAAGCGAGATACAATTCCGCAACAGGGTAGATATGGTTGCTGTCTTCCGACGATTCTCCTCAGATCTATGCATATTCTCAGCAACCCTGAAAAACCAAAACGTTTTTTAGACTCTTCCATTTTCAATTTGATTTATTTCTAAGCTTGCATGAAGGGGCTCAGACCTGTAAAGCAACATGGCAACAGGGAGGGTATAAGGATTTTGCCCCATGTCTTCCCTTTCTAAGCTGTCCTGGCATAGGGAAGTCAGATCATATAACTTCACCACATCATCAGTTTTTGCTGAAGGAGAAAAAGAGCAAGATTGGATGAAAGATCAATTCAGTTCAACTTTCCAGGTCACATGCAGATTGCTGGGTATTAAAAAAAAAAACAAAAACAAAATAAACTCCATATTACACCAATACCACTTGATAGTAGCAGGTGGGGGTAATTTTTTTTAAGAATGGTTTCTCCTTCACTATTTCATAGCCACAATTTCAAATTAATTCACAATATTTTCAATTGTATTGTCCTGTACCAAGCCAGACCCTCTCCCAAAGGAGTTGTTTGATGGGCAAGCTACTCTTCCCATTACGTTGTTGAGCATCTGGCCCTGCAGCAGGATCTTCATTGTTTCAGTAGAAAATGCCAACTATTGCGCTATTGATCAATAGGGTATAATTACTACTCAAACTGAAACTGGGTAGAACTGACGTATTTGAGTTTTATTTAACAAGAAAATAGTGAACTAAAACTGTGTATGCTCCTAGACACAATAGCAATGATAAATGACTCTGGAGCGTATACCCACCAAATACAGTGCCCATAAATGTCCAAACGAACATTCCTTACCACACGTAAAATTGATGGATTGTCCCATCTCACCTCCCCATGAAGACCTGTGAGTACTGTTACTTCCTGAGTCTCATAACTAGGAATCAGTTTTATGTTCTTACATGTTCATCCTGCTTCCTTTCCTTGTCTTTAAAAATTGTGAGGTGACCAAATTTCTTCACAGGAGACAACAAGAATAATTCTACAAAGCATATTAGAGCATATTTGAACTTTAGAGAATATTAAATCTAGAATATTCCACAAGAACCCAAATACATTTCCATACTTCATAGTGTTTGTAATTGAGCAATAACATTTTGCTAATGTTCTGTCCCACTTGAGCAACAATGACACTTTTCTACAATTGAGTAGGGTTGGGATGAAATTTGCAAAGGACTTGTGGTACATGAGGAAAAGAAAGCCCTTCAAAAATAAGGTGCAGGATGCAACTGGTAGTTCCATACTACATGGGACTGCTAGTCACTCCAGTTATGTACACTGTGGACTGGGCCCGAACCACAATGCTCTGTGGTAAAAAAAACAATGTGCATTGAATATACCTGTGAGAACAGCTCACAGGGTGGCATGAAATTAATATAGATGCCAGTACCCTGAGAATGTCTTAGAGGTACCCAACATCACTAATGGGGTGACCTTGATTATCATGGAGCCAGTGAATATACAGTGTATTTTTGGCAAAAAAGACTAACTGTCATCTTTGTGTATCTCTGCTGTCACTGGATCAACTTAACCCTTTCCCTGGTGTCAGCATAGATTTACATCGACATCTGCAAAGTGTTCGGATATCACAGCCAGGGAAAGGGTTAAAAAAAAAGCATAGTGCATGAGTTGATATTCTTCCACAGACATCTGAAATTTCACCTGTATCAATATCATCAAAGCAAGACCATAAGAAAAATTTCAAAATAAACAGAAAAATTGAGAATGGACAGGGGACTTCAATCCCTCCTGAGCCCTCCCATCCTTCTGTCTCATTCTCCAATGAAAATAAAAGAAAATTGGAATAAACTATGAACAAACTTGCTGTTTTTATACTTACATATAAATCTGTCATTAATTGGAAGAAATCTTATCAAAGCTGTCCACAAGAAAAGGTAAGGCTGAGAAATAAATTTTAAATGACAAGAAGTTGGAAGTGGTCAATGATATGTAGGCAGAGCATTCAGATGTTTCTTTACTCCACTACCTGCTCATGTTCTTGTCCATTTTCCTTGTTGAACTACTTATTAATTGTTCTTCATTGAAGTTGGAGGACTTAAGAATATATTTTCAAAAGCAAGCCCAAAGGCATTCAAGTGGCCTCTATATCCAAACATTACCACCTATGACTACAACAACATCATCCAAAATGTTTTTCAAACTGCTGCCTGTTGTGTTTCATTCCCTTGAGCTTCCACTGAAGCATCTCTATTAAGTTTCCCTAATAAAGTTGCTTCAGAATAGGATTGCACAATATTTGCCTTGGGACATCATATCATCTCCCTGCAGTATCACAATATATCAATTTTATTGTTGGCTGGAGATGTGGAGTGTGGGGTATGGAAAAGTGGGAAAGCACAAAACAGCATTGGTGGCTTGAAAACCCTGACCTGCCACATTTTCTCTCCTACCTTCTGACCCTCTTCAATTTTATTTCTGCTTGAGAGAGGTGAGGGGAGTATAGACATTTTTACCTTTTCTTGCAAATTGTGACCTTCCCTTTCATCCCTCTCTATTTGAAAAATTTGGTAGAGAAATCAGCTTTCACAGTCAGAACAGGACAGGAAGCAAATCTCTCTTCCTAGATTTTTCTATATGATATGAAGTCTCTGTCTCTAAACAAATAAATAATCCCTACCCAAAGGAGGCAGAGATGTGATGGTAATATTTATATAGACAACAAAAATATTCACACAATAGTATATTTGCCTGCAACTGGATATCAATATCCTCAAAGCTCCATATAATGATTTTTTTTTTACAATATCAATATATTGTGCAGCTCTGCTTCAGAAAAAATGTTGGATTTCAGTCCTCTCATCATTTTGTTTCCTTGGGAGTATACTTATTTTTAATAAATTGTACCTCCTTAAACCATTTCCTGAACTAGTTCACCAAAATGTTGCTTTGCTTGCAAAAGACTGAAGCTAGTGATGATACAAACAGATTTCTTCTTTAAAAAAATGCTCCACTATGAAAATTTGCAAAAACATAAAATTGCTTAAAAACATAAATATCCCTTAGTAGGGATGATGGGAACAACACTTGCTTTGGTGCAAAGGATGAGGGTGGGTTTGAGACAATACACACCAACTTTGGTCCAGATCCAAGCAACCCTACAATGGCAAAATCAACTGCAAAACATAGAAAATTTCCAAAATTTTCAGAAATTAAATTTCAAATTTAGATATTAGGCCCTCAAGGTCTGGTTTGTGAGTGACAGGCAACAAGGAAGTGAGATCAACAGCCACATCTTGAAAGCCTCTGAAGTTCTGTGGGAACTTTGGCAAACTGTGGTTTCCAGATCAGAAGTTTTTAAGGAAGTGAAAATATCAGTTTTTAAGAGTGTCTATCTCCCCACCCTCACCTATGGTCATGAACTTTGGGTAAGGACTGAAAGAACCATATCACAGATACAAGCTGTCAAAATGAGGTTCTTGCATCTGGCACACCATGCACACATATGGAACTCAATCATCTGTGAGAGCCTCCATGTTGAGCAGCTGCTTCTCAGGATCAAGAGGTCTCAGGTCAGGTGATTTGGACATGTGTGTCACCTGCCCCCTGAGAGACTTCCAAGAGGAGTCTTCCAGGTCAAGATGACCAGCAAAAGACCTGTTGGTAGACCTCATACAAGGTGGAGTGATTAAGTCATTTGGCTTTGTCACAAGAGGCTCAGCATTCCACAAGCTGAGCTTGAGTCTGTCACCCAGGAATGAGGTCATTGGAGGATGCTCCTGAGCATGCTTGAACCATGACCCCATAAACTTGGAATTAACTGCATCAAAAATGTATTTATGATATTGATTTAACTCATAAAATCATTTCGCATATAACCCCAATGAAAAGATGCATAAAATGCATTACCCCCTTCATTGCTTACACGACGAGTAAACATGTCATCCTCCAACTCCCATTGCGTGCTAGCTTGACATGTTAGCTCATCACGGATTCATGCATTTATTATGTCCTTCAGCAACATCATCTGGCTTGATTGATGTCCACATAGCATATAGGGACCTCCTGCCATCTTGTGGATTTTTGGAACTTTTATTTAAGTAAGGGATATTTGAAGAATAACCATTTTTGTGAGATGGCATTCTATGGATATTAGTTTCCAAAGATGGCATCTACAAGTAGGCAAGACATGCATTCATATAGTAAAAATATGTGGAAATTGAATGACAGTGATTATGAAGAGGAAAGGAGTTTGCCTAATGGTTGTCCTTAAATTGATTTTAATGCTGTGTATGCAATTCAAAAGGGTGATCTTAGGCAAACGTAAAATGTATTTTTTGTGCAATTTTAAGTAATTTTAAATGTTAGGTTAAGCTTGCCAAGTTTTTGGCCTTAAACAGATTTTGATGAAACCTATTTATTATTTTAATTGTTTTTACTTCTGAAACAGTATTTATCCAAATTTGAAGGATTTCAAAAACATTGGTTAGATGTTTCTTACAATTTCAAATGGGGATTTGAATATTTGAAAATTTTAAGACTTTGAAATTTAAGAACATCAATTTCATTCAAGTCAATGAAACGTCACTCAGAAGTTGGAAGAGTATAACAAAGAAGTGTGAATTTATGATTTCCAAAAACTAAAGTTTATTTTCCTTCAGAATACCATTCCTGTCAAACATAATTGAACTAAATTTTCCATTTGATTTTCACTTGTCTGCATACATTTCCCATCATTCAGTATTGTTGGAATTATGTACAGGGTGGGGACATCAATTGGCTATTTTTAATATGGATGCATCAGGTTGCATGACAATTTTTGTTTATATTCCTGGATAAATTTTTACTAGTAGGACTAGCAATTTGTAAAGAAAAAAAGTTGGATTAACACGAATCTACCTGAAGATGCCGGAGATGTACATGATCATTGTGAAGAGGTACAAGGCCGGAAACTGCCCAGTGGACATCGTGAAGGAATTGAGGAACCTGAAGGCCACCCAAGACACGGTCTACAAGACCATCAACTGTTATAAGGGGTATGGCAGTGGTCAGCCCAGGTCCAGGGGTGGGAAAAAGAGGATCGTACGCACGCCAGAGATGATCAAGAGCATCCGGAACAAGATTGCCGACAACCCCAAAGGTCCTTCAGGAAGATGGCCAGGGAGGCCAGCATTGATCCCAAGACAGTGAAGAACATCGTGCATGAGGATCTGAGGATGATGTCCTACTCCATGTAAAAGCGGCAACTCCTGACTGATGTCCAGAAGCCGAAGAGGCTGGATTGTTCCCGCAACTACTGCGCAAGCTGAAAAATGGGGATCTCAGCAAGTTCGTGTTCATGGATGAGAAGCCGTTCACCGTTGAGGCTGTCTAGAACCCCAGGAACAACAGGGTGGAGACCAAGAACATCAAGGCTATCCCTGGAAACAAGAAATTCCACCTGAAGAGAAAGCACCCGGACAGAATCATGGTCTGTGCCGGCATCAGCACGTCCGGGAAGACCTCCCTTGTGTTCATTCCACCTGGCATCAAGGTGACAGCCGATTGGTTCTATCAGCATATCCTACAGAACCCCATGAAGGACTGGGCCAAGATGAAGTTCAGAAACAATGACTGGATCTTCCAGCAGGACGGAGCTGCAGCTCACATTGCAAACAAGACTGAAAAGTCTGAAAAAGGAGTTTCCGGACTTCCTACCCAAGAAAATGTGGTCACCCTCAAGGCCGGAACTGAACCCCATGGACTTCAGTGTGTGGTCCTACCTCGAGAGCAAGTTTGGCTGCATCAACCATGCCAATATCGAGGCCCTGATGTCTGCCATCCAGAATTAGTGGGACAAGATGTCCAAGGACTTCATTTCAGACTGCATCAAGACATGTCCTGGTTGTCTGGAGCGTGTGATTGAGGCCAGAGATGGCCATTTTGAATGAAAATTTTCCATGATATAGAAGAAGGACCAATAAACCCATGTAAAATATTCCAAATTTCTACATCTTTTACTTCCAGGTAAAGATCTGGATTTAGTAAATAGCCGATTGACGTCCCCACCCTGTATTCTGAAGGAATTTTCATTCTTTCAAATTTGAATGAATTTTATATTAACCTAATGGTTTCTTTTTGGATTTCCTGTAGCACAAAACATAAGTACCTTAATTTTGAGCAGCAGTGAATTGGGTTAAAGTGCCTGAAAAACCCCTGCACAGTGCTGAACAGTGCCCAGCTACTAAATACTCCACAGTGAAAAGGTTAATGCCAGGATTTTTAGCTGTCATACTTTTCAAGATATGGCTGTGGTTCAAGTACATGGAAGCCTAGAATTCCAGATCCTTGAGGGCCTGTAACTTGAGAACCTGAATTGAGGGAAAAAAAAAAATTTGAGGCAGTTTTGCATTTTGATGTTTCTCATATGGGATAATCACTATTGATGTTGCTCCCTAGTGCTGGGAGCCCCAGAACTCTGGGAGATCAGCCAAATCATTTGTTGGCTTGGCCATGAACAACTCCATGAAATTTGAATATCACATAGTAGCACAAATTAGAGAGATACAGGGAGCACACAGGAAGGGGCAGGAACTGAACCTGCCAAACCCATTATTGAGCAGCTTACAGGAAAAGATTCAACCAATTGGACCATACCATAAGCCTAGAAAAAAGCCAGGTTTGGTATGCCTGCATTTGAACCCATGCTTTCAAGTTCATAAGTAATGTAAGAGATATTTTTTCTATGGTTCTGATGTTTGCAGAACTTTTTTGCAATATCATTCACTCTATCTTAAAGGAGATGCTGGACATATACTTCATTCTTTACTTGGCAGACTTCTGTGATCGTGCATTGATGAGAATTTTGAAGTTGTGGAATGCATTAAATTCATTCTACAACTTAGATCATCTGATCTGAAAATCACCCAGAAAAGAACTTGGTATTGAAGGGAATCTATTTCTCTCTTATCAAGCTTTCAGAGCCACACCCAACCTTTGAAACCTATTGGCAAATAGTATTATGTGCAGTAAAGGCTATTATATTGGGTGGCCCAAAAAAACGGGTCCTGTTTGATGCTTAATATAACCTACTGTGGATGATCTAGGTTTGTGATGTTTATGTGGCACATTGGAAACATCACAAAGTCTGTTTTAGGAAAGTTTCATGTACCTAGGTTGTCAGAACAAAAATCAACAGTCATTCAAAGTGGAATCATAAAATGTACCTTTCTGCACATGAGGTGGATGGAGTTTCAGGACTGCTTGAATGATTTCTGTCTATTGATACCATAAATGCATCTTTTTATGCCAGTTCTTATTGTAGTATTCTGTGCAGTATCAAGTCTGATCAGCGATGTATGACAGTGGTACTATTCTACAACATGTAGAATACTATGACAAGGGTCTTGGCATAAAAAGCAGTCTTTATGGCATCAAGTGAGAGAAATCATTCAAGTAGTGCTGTAACTCCATCCACCTCATGCACAGTAGAGGTACATTTTATGACTCCACTTTGAATGACTGCAAATTTTTATTCAGACAACCTATGTAAATGAAACTTTAATAAAACTAATTTTGTGATGTTTCCAATTTGCTACAGAAACATCACAAACCTAGATTGGATAGACAATGGATTTTATAAAGCATCAAACAGGACACTTTTTTTGGGTCATCTGATATCTATTTAACATACTTTTCACATTTGTGGGATGATGTCAAGCCTGGACATGCAAAAAAGTCATATGAGTGGTGCAACAGAAAAGTAAATTGGCAAGAAATTTTTTCAAAGTGTTAATCCATTGCCAGAGCAATGTAGTGGCATAGCACCAAGGACAAGAATGCTTAAGCTACACATATAAAGAAAAAGTTTTGCACCACCCCCAGATCTCTGCAGGTTCTTGCTGCGATATTTTTGGTTATAATTTTGCTATGTTTCATCCAAATTCCATCAAAATTTTTATCAAACATAAACACATGGCAACAATATACTATAAGGATTTTTCAAAATGTCCACCATCGGCTGAGATACAGGCTTTTAAATGCTTTGGAAAGTTGTTCACAATGGCCATCAGCTATTTGACCTTAATGTTGTCCCAAGTCTTAAGAAAACCCTTCTTCAGCAAATCCACACTGCTGTGCAGTGTCAAGCAGGCTTTCTTCTCCAAAATGTACCACATGGCGTAATCCATAGGTTTGAGATCTGGTGAGTTTCAGCACCAGATGTCCTTCCCCCATGGATTCAGAAACAGTTCTTTGCAGAGCTCCATTGTTGTCTTTGCTCCATGCATGGGTGCTCAGTCTTGTTGCAGCGTCCATTCATTTTCACCGAAATGATCACATGCCCAAGGGTCCAGAACTGCTCTCAGGATGCAGTCTTGATACATGGCTGCATTGATCTTCACCCCTTTTTCCAAAAAAAAAAAACAGGAGTCTTGCCCATGGCACAAATCCCAGCCCACACCATCACTGACTGTGGGAAATGCGACCTGCTCACAGTTACGGCTCCTGAGAGCAGTTCTGGACCCCTAGACACATGACCATTTTGGCAGGGTGGATTTGCTGAAGAAGGGTTTTCTTAAGACTTGGGATGACATTAAGGTTGAACAGCTGACAGCCATCATGGACAAACTTTCCAAAGCGTTTAAAAGCCTGTAGCTCAGCCGACAGTGGACATTTTGAAAAATCCTTATAGTATATTGTTACCATGTGTTTGTTATGTTTGATAAAATTTTGATGGAATTTGGATGAAATACAGCAAAGTTATAACCAAAAATATCACAGCAAGGATCTTTAGAGATTTGGGGGTGGTGAAAAACTTTTTTTGATGTGTGTATATACCATTAGTCTTCCTTGGTGTGGAATTTTAAGAATCTAAGTATTTTTTAGACAGTTCCATTCATAGATGTTACATCAGACGCTAAGCTAATTCAGTTAACCTCTGAATTCTCTGATTTGTCTATCTTCATAATGGTTACTTCCATTTGGACTAAAGTACCTGTCTGCTTGACCAGAGGGTGTCATGTCATCCCCCCACATATGGAAACAGCTGGCATGTGATGTTTTCCAAATCAAGATCTCAATCAAGACAATGACATTTGCCCAGCATACTTTTCAAACTGAAGTGAGTTCAGTTCTTCCTTTTGAAGCTCTCAGTTCATCCCAAGGTCCTTCTTTGTGCCCTTTAGTCAGATGAGCCTGTAAGTTATGTCCCATTCAACATAAGAAGATCTTAGCTATGATTCTGAACTCTGAAAGACAAAATGGTACTCAGAACAGATTACCTTTGAATAGCCAGTAAGTGTGGCCTGCTTTAGTTGCATTTGACTTGAGAAATGTAAGGATGTTTTGGGCAACATCCCTGACCAGCTGAGGAGAGAATCTTGATGTCTCCAAGCTGGGGAGTTCTTCTGTTTCAAAAAGTTCATATTTATGAACAATTCCTTGGAGATGATAGCACATGAGGACCTGAGGAACATTGCACATCAAGTTGTCGAGCCAATAATCAAGCCCTGTGAGGACAGTAATGGGATGATTCATGTCACTGCAAACAAAGAAACATTGACTGTATCAGTGAAAAATTATTACAACTACAAGTAAATGTGTTAATTGAGCAGAACAGAAAAAACTTGCTGAAGTCGAAGGCTGACACATGGATGAGTCCCTCCTCCAAAGATGGGCATGTTGGAACCAATGAGCATATGGATATCTTCAAAAGTCCAAAGGACCCCTCTGGCAAATGGAGGGCCTCCTCTTGCATCTCCTGTTGGCTTATTTGGAATATCTTCACTTCCTTGTACTGAGTTTCCTGCATCTCTCCCAGTGCCATTACCTCCTGGCACCTCACTTTTTCTTTCATCATATGGCCTCTGAATATCATTATCAATAATGATGAACATTCACACTTCAAATAATTATGTGCACAATAGAGAATGTAATAAAATGTAGACCTACAGCAGTGAGAGTTCCTTCTGTTTGCTTTTCTTCCTCTTTTGCAACACTGTGATAGAGAAACTTAGACAAGAGGCTTCGACTTTGCAACAGTTCACGACTAGTGTTCTTCCGAATCAACTTCTCCTATATTTGTATATAATGAAACAAGCACCTATATAAGCACATCTCATGAATCATCATAAGTAACCACTACCACATGCCTACAAAACCAAAGAATGGTCATTTAGTTACGCAGTGTAATCAAAAAGTTATTTACCAGTTTTCCTGAAGTCTTTTCCAGATTATAAGTTTATAAAACTACTTTTTGTGACTAAATTCAAAAAGTTTGATCAGATGGCAATTGGTGGCAATTGCATCAAAACTACAGGAAAACTACAAAAGCACATGGACAGGAACAAATGGAAATTGTGTCATGGATGGCTATTTACAAAAACCCAATATCCTGTGGCAATAGAATTCCAGACAGATGGTAGGGAGTGAGATTTTTGGGGTGCAGTGTAAGGTCCCTCAATCTTACACCCAAGGATAGTCAGGAAAAGGAAACTCTACTTCACTACAGGGTGCATAAGAAGTTCTGTTACAAACTTTTTTTGTCAAAAAACAACCAAAGCAACAAGAATGGCAACTCCAAGTTATAATGTATTGGTACAAAGTGTTAGTCAATATTAGGAACCATGGCTACTCAAAATGTCCACCATGTTTGGAAATGCAAGCCCTCAATAGAGGACGGAATGTGTGTACTGCAGCTGATGCTGCAGAATATTCTTCCATTCTCGGACCAAAGACTTCTTAAGAGCCCCGATGCTGTGGTGTGCACTAGCCCCAACCCTTGTTTCCAAAATGGACCAAATAGAAAAATCCAGAGGGTTCAGGTCGGTGGAGCTAAGAGGCCATTGGTCCTTTGTGATGAAGTTCAGAATTTCACAATGAAGCCATGCTTGGGAAATGTTGGAACTGTGTGCTGGCGCACCGTCTTGCTGAAACGTCCAAGCCTGGTTGCCAAACATGGTCTTACCTGCATGTTTCACTCTTGGGTCTAGAATGATATCTCTGTACATCACACTGTTGATCTTGACCCCTTCAGGAATGAAAACCAGATTGGTGCGACTGTTGGCAGACACCCCTGCCCAAACCATAACTGACTGGGGGTGTTGTGAATGAGGCACAATTAGCATATCATGTGAGACATCTGAGATCCGTAGCGCAAGGATCCAATCATTTTGTTGATTGGAGGTAGCCTGGATGGTGAACAATTTTTCATTGGAAAACAGGATTTTGTTGATGTCATCAGCCCTGAACCGCTGCAGCAAGGCCTTGCTTCGTTGAAGCCACAACTGCCTTGTGTGAGGTGGCAGCAGCTGTGCATGCTTACATTTGAGAGATTTCAGGTGAAAGTGTTTTTTGACATGGATCCCTCTGATATGTGCATTTCCCTGGCCATCATCCTCATGGAGCACCTGGGGTTCCGTTGAATTCGGAGAGCCACCTTTTTCACCATCTCTGGAGCCATAACAGACCTTGGGCGTCCACTTCTCTCACGATCCTCAATAGAGTGGGTCTGCTGGTATTGTTTAATGGTGCGGTGAGAGAACATGTGATTCGTGCCTCGGCCAGAGAGGACTTTGAATATCTCTGGTGGTGCTTTTCCACTGAGATGAAGCTCAATGATAGCTGCATGTTGTGCATTCATTTTGACACAAAAAATGGCATGAACTGATGAGACCACCGCTTCACATGCAATTATAAGCTGCATGTCCATATAAGTCACAAGCACATAGGCTTGTAAAAGATTCCACCCATGAGTCTTTCTATGCGAGTCCAAAGTTTGTAACAGAACTTCTTATGCACCCTGTAGTTGTACCCAAAATTTTAACAAGTCAAAAAGGGAGATATGGCAAGAACTTGATGCTATAATGGAAGCCATGAACCAAAATGCTTTGCTAACAGTAATTCAGAGGTGGCAAAAAATGCAAAGATCAAAATAGCACTTAGGTTAAAGTTTTTTAATGCAATTAGTGAGCCCATACTTTTTGAGATAAAACTTTTGGTTACACAGTTTCAGAATTATGATGTTTGATTCTTCAAAAAGTGATTTTAATTATAAAATTTTCAAAGTTAAAGTGGCAAGTAACTTTTGGATCACAATGTACAAAAAAATCAATCTTAAATCCATTGCTCCACTTTACCTTTTCCTCCAAGCTCTTAAGTACATGTTCATAGTAAAATTTTCGAAGCCACTCCCATTCAGTCTCTGCTGTTCGGAGAAGGTGCCAATTGATGTCAAACTCATCCAATAAAAGGGTCTTGCCCACACGATGCACCATCATGCTCACCTGTAAGCAACATCGTGAAATCTCTGTCTAAATGCAATTATTCCTGAGTCAGAATAGTAGAAAAAAAAAACCTTTATGATATTATGTAAAAAATCACTGTGGAGCCCACAAGCTTACTGGAGCTTTACTATATGACATCTTGAGGAGCTTTTTGATATTTTCTGCATCTGAGACAACATCTACATCCCCAATGTAGTCAAGGAAGTTGTGGGCCAATGCACAGCTAGGAAGATACAAAGAAAGATCATTTACATCAACCAGAAGACATATCAAGGAGTAAATCCAGCTTGAGAAAGCTCTCATTAACAACTTCTGAGGGCTTCATGCTAACCTGGAGAAATCAGATGATTTCTCAAAATGTGGCACAATGCCACGTGGATATTGACGGTTGGTCCGCAGCCAATTGGATGGTGGGAGATTCAAATTTGTTTCAGGGTCCAATTGAGCATAGCTGACTGGATTTTGGTATTCAGAATATTTTACCACTGCCTGTGACTTCACCTCTGATTCTTTACCTTCTTCACTGCTCTCACTTTTCTCTGTCTGACTACCTTCATCACATAAAGTATCACTTTTGAGCTGGCTTCTGTGATGTACAGAATTCTCATCTCTTTCAAGATCCATCGCAGGATTCAACATTCATTTGCCAAAAAACCTAGGTAGAAAGAGATATCTTGTCACGCCGAAAGAAATCTTGGAATGTTTCGTCTAGTCATAGGGTTAAATTTTGTGAAAATTATAACATGTCTCCTACAACTGATGCATAGCTCAATGCTTTACTCAGTAGTCCTAAGCAGTCTAGGATAACCTCAGCAAACCAAGTCCACAGGAATGGAAAAGGTGATTACCAGGAAATATGACAGGAGGGAATAGGAGAAAATTATTGTGTATTCTTATAGATGTGAAAATGAAAAGGAAGTTAAAATCATTTTACAAACCAGGGGACATCAACATTTAGTCCCATCTATCAAGAAGATGGCTGTATAATTCTTACAATACTTATCAAGAAGTTGAGCCCTCAATCATGAATGCTGCTGCTCTCCTCCCTTTTAGTTACTGAGAATAAGACACTCTGGTCTATTATATAAGTCTGGGTGATGTGTGCATGGCAAAGAGGAGGCTAAATATGGTGAATGCAGATCAATTAATAGGTCACCAAGATGTTGCTGCTGCTATCAACTCAAAAAATTCTTAGGGAAGAAAGATCATATGACTTCATCCCATCAGTGCTTATTGCATTTCATCACAAACGAGAATAACAGAATGAAGTGAGGTTGGAGTGGTGAGAGAATTAGGGAAGGAAAGTGAAGTGAATAGAGACTGAATGAGAAAAGTTGCACATGACAAAAGCCTAAGTAAATCTGAACTGTTAGAAATGCATGCCATGATTCCTCACATAACAAGGACAAGAAACAATAATTTAAATCCTTGCAGCAGGTATCCTTTATAAATTCAATTAAATTCCTAAAATCTTTGTGTGCCCACTTTTTTCCTTTGTCGAACCCAGTGGTTCCCAAACTGTGGATCATGAGAGGCATCAAGGTGGGTTCCCAGTATCATTTACTGGGGACCCACCCATATATCACTGGGATTTTCCCAGCATAAAAATCACATCCACATCTGCTCAGAATAAAACATGCCCTGCAGAAAAGGTCTATCAGTTTTTTTCACATCATAATTACTTTGAAAATACCTCATTCTGGATTCCATTGGGTTGGAAAATTTTTTGTACCTCAGCAAGTGGGTTGCAATTCAACGAAGTCTTGGAACCACTGGTCTAACCCATTAACTACTGCAATACAAAATCACTCAAAATAGTTTCAGTTTTACTCAGCAGGTACTCCACCTTTTCCATCAAGGAAAACAGTCCAAAGAGAGGAATCCATTCTCTAAATTTAGTTAAATTTATTTTTCAATGTCTCCTAACATACCTACAGAATTAGTGCTGTGCACCATAGGGCCTGCCACCACTAGATAAGAGTGACCTCTTGTCCATTATCTCCACTATCAGAACTGGAGTTTCATGGTTTCTGGTATTAGTATTTATTCCTGTTCTGGTCAGAAAAAATAGCCTCTGCCTTGCTCAAGGAAGTTCTTCATAGCTAGATTAATTTTTTTAGGCTTTGGCCAAGGCATAATTCAAGTACTTGTCCCTTGATCAGTGACTCTAAAAATGATTTGATACTCTGATGAAGACTATTGGCCAAGACCATGATAGACCTTGCATTAAACTTAAGTTCTAAAGCTGTAACTTAGACCTTGAACCTTAACTTTCAGTCATTAAGGCCGGAAGACCTTGAACAGCCTGTACTCACTCTACACCACTCAGGTGAGAGGTCATGGTAGTTTGAGCATTTGCTATAATATTTTCATACCCAACAGGTGCCACAGTTCTGATGTTTGGCAGCCTGCATGAATATAACTTTTATATGGAATTGGCTCTTTGGTTTTAGTGCTGGAGGATAATGACCAGAGTTATGAGCTCTATAAAAATTTATTAATTCACTGAGTAAAAATATGAGCTGTCAAAAATGGCCAATTAAAAGGTTGTCAATTGACAGCCCCATCCCTAGTGTTAAATCACCTTGTGACTGAGGACAGGATATTACTAGGAATGGATATTAAGTCTCACACACTAGTAAGTGGTCTCATTCTCGTGATTCTTTTCCTAATACCAGAAACCCCAATCCTGTTATTTTGCACCTACAGACCTTCCCTGTGCACAGGGTGAAATCTATCATCTCTTCCCATCATCCCTGCTTCATTGTCCTGGAGAGAGTCAAGTTTCCTAGCATTTCAGAGTAGCAACAGCAGCAGACAGTACTCTCAAGATTTCCAACCCTAACAGTCTCATTCATCAGACTGTGGGACAAAGTTGCATTTTTCTGGCCAAAACTCAGATAGCCAAGACAGGAATGAGGAACACCTAAGGCATTACAAGGTTGGACAGAGTAACAAAAATTTGCTCTATTTTTCAGCACAAATAAATTTAGGAAATTATATAATTAAGTAGTTAAATATAATTAATTATATTTATTAAAAATGAACATTTTTCATGAACTCAAAAATTATGGGGAAAAACTTACAGGCAGAAAGTACACTTTCTCAGAAAGGAAAACATGTAGGCTTCTTTTAGTAAATGATTAATATCCATATAAGAAAAGATATACACCTGCTCTGCAGAAAGCCTTGTGCTTTCTGCAGAACATGTTGCTCTTCTTTATTATTTTCCTCCTGTATAACTTCAGACATTTGTTTCTATTTACCTGTATTAATTCAGAAACTTGACCAATAGATAGAAATATATAAGAAGTAACATCAGAACCATATTTAAAGGGCTTATAGCACAACTTATGGCACTGTGGAACTATGGATTGTTCAAATTGTCTACCTGTTGGTAGCAATTAGCTGCTTGCTCAGAGGGCAAGCTGGGGCAGCTGAAAACTTTATGGCAAGAAGATTGATGTGTGTAGATATTGATATCAGTAAAAATGTTGTGCAGACTTGCAGGGAAATTTTTGTATCCCATTTCAAATGTTGCTGTTACTCATTATGACTAATATTCTTGGCATGCAAAGATTGATTTCAACAAGAAAATGAACCTATGGAGTTGAAACTAAATACCACTATTGCTTAAGAGTAAGTACCAGTGAGCATCTGCTCCATCATTGCTTTTAAGTGCAAGTTTACAGATACATGATTTCCACCAAGGCATCATGAATGACAACATTCATCAAAAATGAACATTCATGGTCTTGGCAAAAAAATACCAGAAAAGTTAACCTGTAAAGACAAGTACATCCTATAGTCGAGTTGGCTCTCATGTGGCATTCCTGAATCTCATGACAGTTTTCTATGTGATTAAATCAACGGAATTAAAAAGTGTGAACTTTAATTTCTATACTTTTGATCAGGTTTTCACCTGTTTTGACCCCCATGATTGCTACCGTATGGCAGAGCTGCCTGAGCAGATCACAGTGATTATGTAGGGGTATAACTTAGGAGAAAACTTCCAAGACTCTTAGAAGAAAACGTCTAAAAATGGAAGGTGATATGGTGCATGGTGCCGTGAAGAGTCGGCGTAACACATGCTCCTGATTAGTACAGGGATGGAGTCCTTATCCTACCAGTCATGCTTCCGGAGCCAGCTCCTTCTTCCAGGAGGGGAGATCTCACATCACCAAAAAGAAGTATAGGTCCTATACGTCAAGGTCTCATTCATCTAAGAGATGGTTGACACAACGAACACCTTCTACGTTGCCTAACAACTGCCAGCTCTTAACTACCAACTGTCAATTGTTGGCGAAGCAATGCTGTTGGTTGTCTAGACACTCCAAAAATCAAAACTAAAAATGCCTAATGAAACACAAGGCAATTAATGCGCAGTGCTGAACGTTGGCACGTTAGCCCAGGTAAAGCAGTAGAAGCCACACGTGACACTCGTGTAGCCTATCATGGGAGGAGCCATGACAGAAACACAGCAATTTCACAACAAATCTTATGCATACACTATGGTGACCAAATATTTTTCAGGAAAAAAAGGGACATTCTCAAGAAAATGCCCTAACGTTAGTTCTTGAAATGTGAAAAACCGGGACACCAGGATGGAAGAGAAAATTAAATCTTTAAGATTTATTGACCGTTATAGATCCTTTTGTTCCCCCGGAAACGTCTGTGGATTAAGCCTAGAAGTTAGGAAAGAAATTCGCATGCGTCTTGGTCCTAGGCGTTGCTTACGAGAGCGAATAACTCAATTGAGTTACATATAGATACAACCGCCCGACCAATACAAGAACACATAGGTCCGAATGCTCAAACCTCCTTTAGTTAAAGGTCCTTTAAGGAGAAAACAGACCGTTTGTTAAAAGCCTCTTTATCTGGGAATGCGCAAACCTTTAACCTTCCGCTAGCTAACGGTCCTTTAACTCAGGGACGTAGCCAGGGGGGGGGGGGGTGTCCTGGGTGTCTGGACACCCCCCGAAATGAAGCAAGATTTCATGAAACAAGAAGTATTGGAGTTGGGAAGGGGGGAGCACTTCGTCATCTCATGAGCCTGAAAGAGCCTCACAAGACACCCCCGGAAATTATTTCTGGCTACGTCCATGCTTTAACTAAAGGGGCTTTTAGAGAGAGGTGTGAAAAGGCACATCTTGGCGTCCCTGTGGATACTACTCTGGTGTAGTTCTTCGTTTAAAGGCCTAATTTGACGGGAAATGAGCCAATGCCACGTGGAGTGAACACAGATGGGTGAAGTTGATTCAGCCCAAGTGGGCTGAAGTGGTGAAACGTACACTTAGACGGAAAAGCGAAGTGAGGAGGGTTTCATTTTCCAAAGTTGTTACTTCCTTCGCAGCATACAACTAAACCTGGAGAACCAGCCCAGTTACGGATCAGTCATTTTACTGACCACCATGACACTGAGGTTCCCTCCCTTCGCTATTTCGTAGTCATCAAATTTTTCAGCAAGCAAAAGCCGTCATGTCGATGACTTGCATAATCAGGGGATGGGAGAAAAGTAAAGCCTGTGGGATGCGAGATGCGGCATTCCTTGGGATCGGCCCACAAACTTGCCTACACTGCCATAAGAAGCCTCTCCCCAAGCAACACATGGCATCGCTTGTCGTCGTCCATGCAACGTTGCTGCAACGTGATTTTGTGACCACTGCGACGTCGTCTCGACGTCATAATGGACGTCGCGGCGACCTCACTATGTCCCAAAATGTATGCATCGCCGCAACGTATGTTCCAATGTTCTGCGACGTCGATGGGACATCATTGCCACATGCTTCGGGCGTCATAATCCTTGTCATTGTTCTTCTTAGAATGCATCTCCACGATATCCTAGAATGTCCTATGTCTAGGACAGAAGAGATGATGTTCTGCTACTGACAGTACTGTTTACAGTACATGTTAGAGGAGGAACCAACTCATTCGGTCCAGTGAATTGTCCGCGATATCAGTCCTTAATTTCCTCTTATTTACCGTCGAAAGAGGCAGGGGCGGACAATCACGATCAATTCAACATTTTTCTTTGTCTCGTTTACGAATAGGCTAAACCATCTTTTTTTTATTATAAAGTTAGGAGCTAAAGGTATGGTGGGCCCCGCTGTCATGTGGTGGACTGACACATGACTCTCGCTCACCATGGTGAGATCTTCCCAACATGAGGGCTGGCAGAG